CTCCTTCCCACCTCCTGGTAACAGGGCACAGCATGGCACTGTGGGGGACCTGGAGGGGCCGTGGGTCCCAGAAAGTTCTCTGAAAGGGGCACTTCCAATGGAGCCCTCCCCCAGAGGAGGGGCCCTCCCAGGGACCCCGCTGAGACCAGTCAATGTGGAGGTGGGGCAGGGCCGCAGCAATCCTCCCCCCACCCCTGGCCAATCTCAGCCTCTCCCTAGGCCCGGGCCCCATGGGCTGGGGACAGGTCTTGCCCAGCTCCCCCAAGGAGAGGGCAGCCCCTGGGGCCACTGGTGTCACCCTTGCTCTCTGCGAAGGCCAGCCCTCTCTGAGGCACGGCGCTCACTGAGTAGCGAGCTGCCTGACGAGGGGCCCTGAAGGAGGCTATCTTGGAATTCGGGTGGTTTGTTCTGTACTCAGCTCTGAAAGTGGGTCCCGGAGCCCCAGGATTCTGCTAGGGCCCTGTGTCCTCCGGCCTGCAGCCTTCTCATTGCTAGTTGCCCTGGTCTGGGAGCTTCCTGGGGCCACTGGGTTCCAGTAAGCGGCCACATCCAGACACAGCAGGGAGGGCCTGTAGCTGTCACCTGCCTAGTCCCACCCTCCACAGGGAGCAAGGGCATGGCAGGAGGCCGCTGTGGTGGAACTGCGTGAGGCACTACGTGTGCGTGCCAGGCGCCCCTGGCTATGCAGGCATGTGCTATGGCCGTGCACTCACGGGGATGCGTCCTGACCCCAACACCACCCCGGCTGGAGCCCCAGCCACCCAGGAGGCAATGACATCCGAGGGCAGCCTTGCCACACTCCTGTGTTGCAGTGGGCGGGGCACCACCTGCTCACAGGTGAGCAGACTGCAGGCCCCTGGAGGGGCTGCAGCAGGACCCGGCAGCCCCTGCACCTGAACTGCAGCAGACAGGGGCATTGGGGCCCGAACAAGCCTTCCCACAAGCCCAGGTGGGGGTGCCGGCCTGCAGTGCCACACCACACCAACATTCAGGGAGGGCGTCCCGGGGCTGGTGGCAACATATTTGAAGGCTGACCTGGGCAATGCTGGGTCCTGAGGAGCCTGAGTGGGGCTCCCGTGGCCATGGGACAGCTGTGGGGGGCTCTGGCACAGGAGTGGGAGTGATGTCTGGAGAGGCCGAGAGCACCTTCGGACGTGGTCACGCACCCTGAGTCCTGGTCTCGCACACAGAGGTTCAAGCAGAGTTCTGGGGCCTGCCCTCGCTGTGCCAGTGGGGACAGGGCTGTCTCCAAGCACGAATCCTGCCCCCCACCCCACCAGTGGCCCCATCATTTCGAAGATGTAATTTTCTTCCCCAGGGACCCCCATCACCCTCCTGTTCAAGGATCTCAAAAATCCATCCCGATACAGGACAGACAGCGTTTCCCACCCTCCAAAACCAGCCTCTGGCCCCCAAGTAATTAAGATAAATGCATCTGATAATCGGCAGTTCTGGGCGCGCCTCCGGGCCTGGCTCAGGTGTAACTTACCTGCGAAGGCTGATCTGACTCAGGTAACAGGCATAGGCAGCCGCCTGGGCTGGGGGTGGGGTAGGGTAGAGGCAGAATGTGTCGAAGCTCCCCTGGGCACTCGGCCGGCTCCCGAGGTCCCGGTGACCTATGACCAGGACTGGGGTGGACAGAGATGGCAAGGGCCTCTGCGTGGAGTCTGTCACACTCCCCCAGCTGCGCTCACCGTGGGGACCTGGGACCACAGGTTCCTGCCCAGCGTGTGGTAGGGGGTGGGCGTACCAGGCCGTGGGGGGCCAGTGGTAGTGCAGGCTGGGGCAGGGACAGGAGCACCCGCCATGGCACAGCTCGTGGGGCTCGGCTAGGGGAGGCAGCCGAGGCTGGGGGAGGGAGGGGAGGGGAGGGGGGCCGGGGGCGGGGGCCCCCGCCAGGGCACAGCTCGTGGGGCTCGGCTAGGGTAGGCAGCCGAGGCTGAGTGAGGAAGGGATGGTCAGAGTGAGCCGAGCTGGGCCGGGACAGGAGCCCAAGGAGGGAGCTGGAGGAGGCCGCCCCGCTCCAGGCCCCGCTTTCCCCTGTGGCCTGGGAGGGGTCGGGCGTCCCCAGCCTCAGTTTGCTGTCACACCTGAGTCTGGAGCCCAGCCCCTCACAAAGGCACGTACTTCCTGTCTTCAGTCTGGTGTCCTGCGTGGACAGGCGGGCCCAAGGGAAAGGCGGGTCTGGCCTGGGGTTGTGTGTGGCAGGCCTGGGATGTGGCATACCCACCTCCGGGGCATCCCATCACCTGCCCGCAAGCACACCCTGCCCCAGCCCTCACTGACCCCATCCTCAATGGCTGACCCTCATCTGAGACGTCTCCCCAGTAGCCAGAAATGCCCAGCCCACCCCATGGCTAAGACCCTCACCCCAGGCCAGCTGTGGCTTGAGGACCACACCATCAGCAAGCCTCTCAGACACGCAGAGTGCCATGGGGCTGGCCCTAGAGCCCACCCTGCACTGCTGAGCCTGGCTCAGAGGGCCATGGCTGAAACCGGCAGGGAGTAAAGGAGGCAAGGCAAGGTGGGGCACTGCGAATGGCACCAGGAGGAGGGTGGGCACAGGCAAGCAGGAGCCCAGGGCCACGACATGCCCGCTGTCAACAGCCGGTGGCCCCACGCCTGCTGGAGCCTGCTCGCCGTCTTGGGTTACGGGTGCTCTGGGGCCGGCCCACACAGGGCCAGTTACTGTTTCTGAGAAAGGGGCCCACTCATGCTGTCGGGGTTCAGCCGGCCCCTGGGATCTGGGGATTAGATCTCCCAACTTCAAAGGGCCCGCCTGCCGAAACGCACACCGATGTGGTGGCACCCAGGGTTTGGCCACGAGCCGGCGGGGACTGCAACCCGAGACCTGGCGTGCACGCGGCCCCACACCTGCCCGTGGTCTGGGGACTAGAGACGGCTACTCACCCCGGAGGGGGAGCAGGCAGCTGCTCTCAAGGGCACTGGGTGCTGTGGGCAAGACTTTATGCTATCCTGGGACTGAGCAAGGGATGCTGGGTAGGGGACAGGGAGACAGGGCCCAGGGCCCAGGGACGGCTGCAGGGGACTGGAAGGGCAGAGAGCGGGCCTCTGAGTCGGCTGCGGTTCGCGAGGCCCACAGGTGCCGTGTGGCTGGGGCCCTCTGAGCCCCGCCGTCTCAGCCAAGCTGCGTGCTGGTCTCACCACGCACACGGTGCCAGCACGCACTGAGATGCCCGCTCTTGGGCAGGCGTGGCAGTGGGCTCTGCCGCCGGTCCCCAGGGGCCTCCCACAGTCCGCCGTGTCCGGCAGGGCGCTCCCGTCGGCCTATGATGCGGGACTTGCTCGGGCTCCTCTGGGAGCCCCTTGCCATGCCGAGGGTCATGGGCTGGGTGTCCAGTGCTTGAAAATCACACCCACAGCAGACCACGGCCGCACCGCCCCTCATTGGTGAGGGTCAGGGGCGGGTCCCATGCGGGGCCTCCCACGGGGCGGCGTCTGGAAGGTCAGTGGCCGCAGTCTCACCTGAGGGTGTGACCAGGGCTGGAGGTCCCTCAGACGGTGCGCTCACGTGGCCGTGTGGGGCCTCAGCCCCTCTCGAGGCCCGCACGGGGTTGCTTGGGTGGCTCACGCACGCAGCAGGCTTCCCTGAGTGTGGTGTTGGGGAGCTGGTCTCGGCCAGGCCTGGTCCCCTCCCCGGTTTGCTCCCAGTCCACCTGCCCTGTTAGCAGGGGCGCGGAGGCCGACCCACGTTCAGGTGAAGGGGATTGGGCTCCACCTTTTAAAGGGCAAGGGTCAAAGAATGCGTGGCCCTGTTTGAAAACCACTGCCCTCCAGATCAGGCACACACTTGCCCACTGGCCCGCAACCCTCCCTGGAGAGCCCCATCAGCTCCCTGACGTAGCCGTCAGTGCCACCCTCAGCGTGAAGGCCAAGCTAGCACCCACCAGGAGCTGGGGCCCTGCGTGTGGGCGGGGTGGGGACCCGTGAAGGAGTGCCGTGAGACTAGCTCCAGGACTCACCGGCAAGTCCCAGCGTGGAGGTGCAGCTTCCACATGGGCTCGTCCGTTCCAGATGGAAGGAGTCGGAACCGCATTTCCGTTTGCTGGTGTTTGCATTGAGGAAGCCTGAGAGGGCCAGCCAGGGGGGTGGCAGAGAAGGCGCTGGACTCGCACACAGCTGGCCGCGGCGCAAGTCCCAGATCTGGCTGCTTGAAAGTCACACCAGACGCATGTGCGTGCACGCCCGGAATCCTGAGCCGGAGAAGGGACTGCAGCGCGGCCATCCCCTCTGGGGTGATTGCTCTCTTTTTTTTCTTTCTGTCTGTTTTTCCCTGTGGCAAAAACCTAAAATAAATAAATAAATAAATAAAGTAAGAAATAAAGAAAGGGGGAGCAGGCCTGTGGCCTGAGGTTCAGGCAGCTGACCCCACCTGGTGGCGCCCCGTTTGGGGCCTGGACCTAGGAGCTGGAGAAGCACTTCAGGCAAGTCCTAAAAGGAGGGAGAGATGGAGGGGACAGAGTCACAGCATGACCAGTCCCCACAGGGGCTCTCCCTCTGTCTCCCTCTGTCTCTGTCTCTGTCTCTCTCTCTGACTGCACACACCTTGCAAGTTACAAAGAAACGGTCAGAGCACGTGGCTGCTCTGGCAGGTGGGGAGGGCCCTCCACCCTGGCGGCCTCGCTGTGGCCAGAGTGCTAGGCCACGCGTGTGCGGGAGCCCTTGTGCAGGCAAGCCCGAGAAGAGCCTGAAATAGCCGTCAAGCCGTGGCAGCAG